CATGAGGAAGCATTGATCCTGTTGGGACAGTGTAAACACATCCTGACGGACCATGGCTACAGGTGGTAGTATGTTCACCTACTGACCTCCAGAAAGCAGCGTTTTCCAAAGAGTGGGTTTGGGGGAAATGGGGGCATGGTCCTGGAGACCAGTGAAAAGTCTGCCCTCGAGCTCCGCTGTGTGAAAGTATTACTGAGAGAAAACCAGATCACAGAACAGAATAAACTTTGGTCCTGTGTCGTCTCAATGTGGGTAAGTGTCCTTTATTCTTCCCATGGCAAAGTCTTATTCTTCCTACGGAGAAGCATACTTAGAGCTCCAGCATTTGGCTGTGATGCCAGGATATGAACTGTATTTACCTGTGTTGAATAGGGGAATACATCTATTTTCAAGAATTATTAGTGATACGTATAGCTGTGTAGGACCATTTAACTATTTGAGAATTGTTTTCTTCTGTGACAGGGCTGAAAGCATTTCTTTCTTCTCCCGTATAACTTAGTTCTTTTCTTCAAGCTTTGTATTTATTGAAGGCCTTTTGTAGTCTCTAGTCCACCAGGATCTGTGGTTTCTTTTCACTTATCCTCACTAAAGTGTTGTTGCAACCCTCCACTACATTTTCCCCTGAGCTCTCGTGATTTTTCTGCCTGCCTCAAAGCACTTTCACAGCACGCAGCCCATCCATTTGTCCCCAGCCTGACACACCTCTGAGCCCTGGCTGTGTTGTTTCCATCCCTTCAGAAAGTACAGCTCCCTTCCCTCAAATCCCCAGATGTTCCTTTTCTTTATACGCCGTCTCTACTGAGTTCCTTGACACAAGTGCTTTCATTTCCACAAACTGCCATAGCCACAACCCCAGTCTTGTCCTTTAGCCTTTGACGCCTCCCCTAGAGCTGGAAGATGGAAGTGTTGGCTGGTCTTAGGACATCTCTGCTCTCTTCCTAATTTCTCTGGTGTCGTTTGTTCATGGATTTGGTCAAATTACTTTCTGGTTTTGCCTGAGCCTTACTAAAGTAAAAGGTGGTGAGTTTTTACAGAGCTGGCATACAATTTACGAGTGCTGTGTCTGCTTCCCTGCCAGTGAACATCACGCAACCCTTTACATAAGCTGATCTCCACCCTAGAAGCCTTTTTCCCCACTGCCCTTACAGGAGGGCTCTTCAGGACTGCACCTTTTGGGTAGCTAGAAGCTTTTCTCTGACGTCTAGCCTAACTGAACATGCATCTCCCGAGCTCCCTGGTGCCTGCCTTAAGCTTCTGTCTCTCTCCTGCCTCCATGGCAACATTTTCAGGCTGTCATCGGAGCATTGCTTAGTTTTAATTTTGCTCGGCTAACCATGACAAGCTTTTTGAACGTCTGGTTTTCTGTTCCCCTGGTCATCCCTTTTCTGCATTCACCATGGTCTGAGGTCTCTTTCCTGAAGATGTACGACAAGCAGCACACACATCACTTCAGGCAGGTCTTCCTAGAGATTTCTATTAAAATGATCTGTGGGGAAATAACTTTTCTGGTACATAATTTGATTTTATTTACCTTCCTTGTGGCTAGTAACACTCCTGTGGCTGTCTAGGGTAGCCAGCGTACAAACAAATGATGAATTTCCAAACTGCTGCAAAAATCCTGATTAATTCTTAGGGTATGTTTAGTAATTTTTTAATCAAACCTGGAACCTGCACTTCAGGGGATCGGCAGAAAAGCAAAATCCTTCCAGGCTTTATCCATTTCACCTTCTTCCGAAACTGAGGCAGAATCCTGGCTTTTCCATGTGTGAGAGAATCAGGAAAAAATGCCCCCCCAGACGGAGATAAAGGTGAGCGCTGCATCCATGAGGGCGTGGTAATGCCTGCAGGACTTCGCTGGGGGGATGCTTTCGCCTGGCCTAGGCTGATGTAAGTTGTCTCCGCTGTGTAGACACCCTGTTAATCTTTCTGCAGCTCAGTTCTCTTTCCCAAAGGGTGATGTGCGGTACACGTGAGAAGACTACAAGATAATTTGATGCTGTGATAACGTGAGCACACGGGGAAGTGGGAGACTTACCCTAAAGCATTAATTAAATGTTGTGATGAAATGCTTGCAAAATTCTTCACAACACTTCTTTAGATAGGAGTTGCTGTAGGAATGTACAGCATTGTTATAAAATTATTTCTGGTGATTGTATCTGCATCCTGTAGCAGTTGAAGTTCTAGCTACAGAAACAGGACTTGAATGACACCCAAGTCAATAAGATCTGGATTATAGATACAATTTGCTGCAGACACGTATGTACAGAAGGAGATGACTGACATTCTTTCAGGATGGACGACTGTCAGTACTCTTTCTTAAGGATTATGCAATCTATTCAGTAACTCATTTTTTCTAGATCCACTTTGGAGTACTTGTACAGGAGCTGAAGCTTAATTAGTTTTTTCTCTTCCTCTCTACGGTGTTATTGGTATGAATGCCCTCGATGCTCAAATTAATTTTTTCTGCTAGGGCAAACCTTTATCTAGTACTTGTCCAGCCAATGCAGCATTACAGGTTAAAACTCAAGTAATTTTTGTTGCTGTTAAATAACAGACACTGCAGAAAAACAGAGAAAATTGTCCCTTTTTGATAATCCTGTTTTCCATGTAAATCCAAACTAGGGAGGAGATTCTTAGATGAGAATAAATTGGGAAGAGCTCTTAGGCTGTCTGACCTCTCTTGTCTGCTTTGCAAAAAGAATCAGATTAATGCACATAATCAGATTAAGGCTAAACAAGGGAACATATCTGGGGGGCATCAGAACTCTGCTGATACCAAAGAGCTGTATGGAAAATTAATGTTAAGGGCCTAACATTGCTCTATCGTTTAATTTAATGAGAGCAAATAATGGCTTTCAAAGAAGGCCCCAGTGCCGGCAAGAGGAGCATGGGTTTCCAGAGGGCAAAAAGACTTGAGGGAGCTGGGAAGCGGCTCCCAGACCCTGGCTTTAGGCAGGGGTTGCTTGGGGTGACAGTGACTTGCAGAGTCCTTTGGCCCATTGGCTTGTGTAGGAAGGCAAGCAGCGTGGGGCCTTTTTAGACACAGGCTTTGATGCAGTTAAATCTACCTAAACCCATCTCTGCTATCAGCCTACTGTGTTTTGTACAGAAAAACAATGCTGAAGGGAAAGAAGAATATACACCGAAGAGGCAGAGACAGAGATGGCTAAGGTTCAGAAAGACAAGAAAGCGAGAATGACAAAAAGGAGGCGTATCTGAAAAAGGAGGGGGAACATGGTAAAAACAGAATGAGAAAGAGGGCGTAAAAGGCAAAATGGTAAGAGCAATATTAGACCCTTACTGTTGATTTTTTTTTTCTATTGCCCTCAGCAAACTGAGAGCAGGGTGCACCATGCCAGTGCAGCAATGTGCCACTGATCCCTGAAGCGGCAGCACGCGTGCCCACTGATCTTTGTAGAAGAGGCATTTTAAGTTTTCTAAGAGAAGGTAAATAAGAAGTGGAAATGTGAACATGAGAAAGAAAGGGCGAAGGTCAAAAACTTGAGGGGAAAGGGCGCTGATGGTTTCTGTTCAGATCCATTTTCTGTTTCTTCAGTGCCAACTGTATCTCAACAAATGCCTCTTATCAGCAGAACTTGCTGCTACACGATGCCTAAATCCTGCTGGTTGTTACCGACTCACAGCCCGTGCTGGTATCGGGGGGGACACTGTGGGTTTCTGCTTTCCAACACGAAGTATATCTCTCTCTAAAAATGCCCGGGTTTTTCTGGCTGCATTTATTACCTTGTTTGACTTTGAAGTTCTCTGAGAGAGTTTCCTGAGGCAACCAAGGGGATGTTTGATGTGGAGTCTTCAAGACCAACAAGCAGATGTGAATAATAATAAATGTTACTAATAAGAATAGTAACAAGTAATAAGAAATACTATGAGACCTGAAACTGGTGTAGCCCAGTTTTCTAAGTTGTTTTTTGTCTGGCTGCTTTGTCTAGGAATTGACAAGCTCTGATGAAGGTTTTCTACCTTCTGGGATATTTATAAATTCTACTCCCATATGGCCTTTCTGGATCTAGTAAGCTGTGAGTGCCTATTGTAGCTGTAGCCTTCCACCTGGGGCACGTAAAGTCTCTACTCATCACCAATTTTCATAATTTTTTCGGCATTCGATTGTCTTGGAAACATCTATGGCTCTGTAAATGTGGCTCACATCAGTTGTCAGGATCAGACCCTGTTGCATGGACAGACATATGACGAGGTAGTTTTTAGGTTTGTTTTATGTGGAAATAAAGCTTAAATTAGAGGGGCAGATGGTGGGGCCCCTGACTTTTTCCCATGTCTTCCATAACGTAATCAGCTGAACAGAGGTTCAGCATATCTGAAGTCAGTATTTCCTTTTGAGATGGGTGAGGCAATTAAACGTGAACAAAAAAACTGGGGAGAGCTAATGGGGCGCTGCCTCTGGTTGCCATGAAAGATTGGGAGGAGAATGATGTGAGATGTGGAAAAGTCTCGTTGCTTGTTGCAGTAGAAGGGGGTGCAGGTCATCTTGCAGAGTCTGCACGCACGCAGTGAGCTCACGCCACGCTCCCAGGGGTTTGAATTGCAAAGAGCAGGTGACTCCAGCTGCTAGCTGGTTCCCAGTTGACGCAAGAGTGTGCAAATCTATGCAGATCTGTTGTCAGCTGCTCCTCTCTGGGAGGCTGCCGAAAAGTTGTGTGCGCGCGTGTGAACTTTCTAGGCTTAATCTGCATTATAAAGTGTGTGTGCGTGCGTGTGAGCTTTCCGCAGAGCTCTAGAGCATATGTGTCATGGGGGATGAGACCAGAAAAGCAGATGTCCTGAACATGCCCCTCCTACTCGGGGATTAGAGATGCTCTGGGGAAAGCAGAGAGAAGCTGGGACACACCTCCCTGACTCACCGCCAGAGACGGCAGCAGCTTCTGCAGGTTCAATGGGCCTCTGCTCTTTGGTCAAATAAAACCCTGCAGCTCCATTTCCAGCAACCATCCCCTTCTTTCGGTTAAGCAGAGAGGAGGAGGAGGATGGCCTATGCTGAGGAAGACAGGTAAGGTGCTGTGAAATAGGGGTTGCACAGACATCCAAGCTGGAAGGGGCTAGCGAAATGGCACCGCTTTTCCTCGCCTTGTTTTCCTCTTCTTACTGAGCACTCAATAAATGTCAGGCAAGCGCTGGTCAGAAGTAAACACCTTATTAGTGAAGAGGAATCTGGCCATCTGCCTGTGTCAGGTGCTGGTATTATGAAATATGGCAATGAGCAGGTGACCTTGGGAGAGGTTATGGGCCAGAAGAGGCAAATACCGTGGTGTGGAGAGGCATACGCTGCAAATACGTATGGCCCTACGCCCCTCTGAAACGTAATGCTTTATCTATTTATTGGGATATGTCCGCTTTTTACGTGGATTTGCTTTCAACCAAACCTAGAAGCACAATGTGGGTGGGGGTTTTTTCATGCAGGAAAAGATCTGTCATCGGTGACAGTCCTGTGTTTTGCAACAGATGCGTTTCTCCAGTGGATGACAGCAATCACAATAAAGGGGATTGTGTTTTCAGCTGATCCTGTGATTTAATCCAAAGTGATGCTACCGAGCACTATTATTAGGTGTGCATTGTTGGAGACAGAGTAGCTAGAGGGGGCTTTGTGCTACATGTATTAATTCAGGCTGTCAAAAAGCTTGCACAGACCTCGGGCTCATGCAGTTCCAGGCTAAATGTTGCATGTGGTGACCCGCAGGTCAAACTCCCCCTCCGCTCCCGCTGAGCAGGTATCTCCTTCATATCCAGAAATTATCCGTGCCTGCCGGTCCCCTTTGATGCTGTGCATCCACAAGATTTCTGAAAACTAAATACCGCAAGCAGGGCACTGCAGACTAATTTTGGCATCACCGTGCTCTCAGCACTGGGGACAGCTCTGGTCTTTGGCCTTTGGGATGGAGAGGGCTCCGCAAGGCCCCTGCGCGCCCGCTGAAGCTCCTTTGGGGCAAGAAGTATTACGCGGCACTGCAGTTTTACTTCTTTGGATAAGAAATGTTTTAATGCCTTCTGTTTAGAAGGAAAAAAATTCCCTCAAACTCAGCACAGCTCAGTCAATCCCAATGTCTTCAGCAGACATGGAATCAGATTCATCCCACATTCCTAAATTTTCTGGGAATATGGGAATAATATCCATTTTTTAATTTATTTTGCAAGGGTGTATGCACCTTTTTAAAAAAAAATACCAAAAAAAAAAAAGGGGGGGATTAGTGGTCAAGTGGAAGAGCAGATCCTGGTGACCTCGTTCTTTTCTCATGCCTGCCACAGGTACATCAAAAGCTTGGGTATTACATTTAAATTCTCTTGGTTCCCTCTAATTTCTAAACAAGGATTACAGTTATTCAACAGAGAAATTGGGGGGGGATCGTTCGTTAATCTATGTAAAGCACTTCTAAAGCTTTTCTCTGGGAGCAAGGGATAATACAGTCAGTCAAGTGTAGGCTTCATTAATGTCACTTTCATCGGTTTTGCTTATTTCAGGAGCTCATGGTACACTTGGAAAATTCAACAATATGTTATGGTAAATAAACTCTTTCTCATTTCCAGACTTTTCCTTTGAAAAGTATTTCAGCTGAATGACTCTGTTTTAATTCATGAATACAGAAGTCATTTCTTCTCACTGGATTGCAGGTTTATGACGTACTCGGGTACTTTTGACATCATAGTTTGTATCTAGGAACGAAAGTTTGATGTATCGGACATTGGACAGGAATTATAGCAGAAGCTGGAGAGCTAGGAGACGAAAAAGCTCACAGAAGATACCTGTGCAATAACTACCTACCTTGTCGGTATAAAGGAAGAATAAACATAGAATTGAGTTTAATTGAATATCTGATACTCAAGTTAGAGGAACCAGTTGTACACTGACCGTCAAATCCTGTTCATCAGTGGTCTGAGACCCCCTGGATCGTAGAGCACCACTTCGAAAGCTTTTCTCTATGTCCCCTAAGGCTGCAGGCAGCAGAATCACAACGTGACTAAGGTTTGCACCTCTGGAAACAAGAGACTTGATTAAAAAAAAAAAAAAAAACCCAAAGAAACATTGATGAAGCAGACGGTGACTGCTTATCAGCATCTCCAGTCAATTTTACATCACCTTCAACCTCGCAGTATCTGATTCTCTCACCCCTTAATAAGCAGATGAGCTTTTCATATAGAGAACCTGCTGCCCCTACCTGTGTTGGTTCACTCCGTGACCTAGTCCTCTACCGTATACAGTCATTAATTCTACTCATCAATGGTAACGATTGAGTTGCCACCAAGAAATGCTATCAGTACCCTCGCTTTTGAAGAAGTTTCCAATCAACCTTGATATTGACTTTCAGAAGATATCTGCCTTGTCCTATTGGAAACAGGATTATGGGATTATTCTGCTATTGATTGTGTTTCAAAACTGTGATTAATGCATCTGATGAATACTGGACTGACAGGCCAAAAAATTGAAGTCCTCTCTCTTCCCACGAGACAGATACACAGCAGGCAGTGTAATGCCAACTTCTATCCCACCTTCTAGCAATGTGCCTCAGCACTGGATAAGACATCTTTTTTGCCAAGCTGTTTGAGCAGCCCCCCTCTTAAATCAGACAGCATAAGCCCAGGAGCCCGGATTCCTGGTCTTAATTTCTGTTTTGATGTAGACTGATGTCACTGGGCCTCTCGCCTAGGATGAGACTGCAGGTGTGACCCCCTGCCCACCCTGTGGGAGAGGAGAGGGTGAATGACATCTCCATGTTTACCTTCCTGTACTGAAACCACAAGGTATCGAGAAGGTGGATGTTTGAGATGTGTTATCAGCCCCAGAAGGAAGCACTGGGAGCTGATGGCACTCAACGCTTACGAAGATTGACTTCTCCATCTCTGTAGATGATGCTTGCCCCATGTCCCAGTAGTCCACCTATTGCAGAGGACAATGTCTACTCCTCCAGCAGCACAGCATCCTAGCTGTGCTGTACAAGTGCCCTTGGACTTCCGTCCTCTTGTATTTCCCCATCACAGGTTGGACATCCCCGTGCGCACACGTATATAGGCTGCGATTTCTCAGTCTAATGTGCTTTTGCATTCCTTCAGTAACTCAGGAGAGACCGGAGCCCATCAGAAGCAGGAGTGGTTATGCCTTGTGATGTTTCTGTGATCTAGGTATCATGAGCCATTCTTCCACTATAGAATGAAACCGGCAAAGAGGTTTCAAATGATTTGCCTCTGGCCAGGAGTAAAATACATGAGATTAAAAGTGAAACATCTTCAATAACAGCAGTGAGGCTCCTACTATTTTAGTCTTAATGATTTTTTTTTTTCTTTGCACCTTTTCAGGACTTCTATCCTTTGAAGCTCGTTCTTTGGATGGGTTGATAGCCTTACCGACCTGTTCTCCTTTTGCAGAAATAGCTACGAGGTGTATAAGGAAACAGCGGATTGGTTACGCGCCCGTACCGTCCAGCGCCCAAAGACCGCCATCATCTGCGGATCCGGACTGGGAGGTCTGGCCGATGTGTTGGATAACAAGACAGTCTTTCCGTATGAGGACATCCCTCATTTCCCACGGAGCACAGGTTAGCGCAACCCAGGGCATCAGCAACCCATCCATCGGCAGCCTGCAACAGCCTGTTACAGTGAGATAACTCAAGTCAACGTGCAACCCTTGGCATTGGTCTGCAAACCGGTTCCCTCAGTGGTGAAATGTGTGTTCACAGTAACAAAAAAACGCTACCTATTTCTGTGCTATGCTATTTATTTAACTTTCAGCTCCCGATTTCGCAGCGCTTGGCCCCGATGTAATGCATAATCATGAACTGGCAAATCCCTCTAAAGTCAAAGACCTCAAGACCTGTAACTAAACTGACACTCTATTAATTTCCAGTTGCGGGGCACGTTGGCAGATTGGTGTTTGGGGAGCTGAATGGACAGCCCTGCGTGTGTATGCAGGGACGCTTCCACTGTTACGAAGGATACTCTGTCGGCACGGTGAGTTCTCCGTAAGAAAATCATTCACGTAGGGGGGGGAATATGTTGTAAAAGATGGAAAAGTGACCGCTTGCTTTGATATCTAGCTGCAGGAGCCTAGCTCTTTCAGTGAACTTACATTGCTCTTGCAATGGATCTTGCTTAGATTTTAGATTTCTCCCCCCAAAAAATAAAATTGGGAGTTCAAACCGAGAGGTAGTGAGCTTCTGCTGGGTGAAGCTGATGCTGCGCAGCCACACAAAGGGGCAAGCCACGCTATACTCGCAGGGCAAAACAGTATATCCTACAAGGCAGATTAATTTGCGTGCTTTAACTCAGTCATTTTAATCATGATTTAAGTCAGCAACCAGGAAACGCTGAGTGATAAGAATATATCTATTTTAATCTTCTTTTGCATTTGTATAGTTTACGGCTTTTTATTCCCTAGAAAAAACTCTCTGGCTAGTGTAACTTGGTATACCCTCCCAGTTAACATATAGAAGTATGAGAATATTTGTGTTTATGTTACCTAACAGGCATGTATGTACATTTCTGTTAGAAAACACCAATAATATTTATTTACTGGTGGATAGTTTTGTGTGTTCTTTTTTATTTGGATAGCTTTGATATTTTGCTTGTGGCTGAGGTCAGTTTGCCTTTGGATATAAACTGCAATACTTGGCACCACTCAACTTCTTATAGAGCAAAACTGTTTTAAACGCACTTGATGCAAAACTAGGTTTAGCAAAACATGTTTGTCTATTAAAATGATCTCATTTCTTAAAGAAGTGACGTCCATAGTTAGGACACTTTCTGCTCACAGCTTTAGCATTTTGGAGGTAGCAGATACCATCCCAATTCCTTCCTGACTCGCAAAATCAAACTTTAAAAAAAAAAAACTTTTTCCAGTTCCCAATTGTTCCTTAACTTTGGATGAGCAGGTCACTGAAGTGAACTACCGTGAATGAAATGAAATGAATAAAATAATCTCTATGCTTCTGTGAAATGCATCGTTGCTGTAAAAAGCTGGTTTATCAATTACACTCAGTCCATGTGCATAAGTAGTTACTTCAATCAGCACAGTGGTTTGATCTCTGCAAGACCTTGGCAGCGAGGAAAAACTATCTGCATATTCTTTTTGTACCGCGTTTATTTGACCTTAGTGCAACTGTAGGAAATGTGGGCTTGAATTTTAATGGTGTTCATTTCGAGATTAGTTTTTTATATATTTAAAAAACATTAAAATTCTTTCTATTTAAATTAGAGGAAAATTTAAAACTGGAAAAAAAAAAAGTTGTTTTGTCTCCTTGAGGCCTCATATAGACCCTTCTCTGCATCATGTAAACTGTCTACAAATTGCGATACTGCAGATGTGGTAGTAGTAGCTGTCTACAAATTGCGATACTCATTGTGTATATGCCTTTGGTTCTTGCAGGTCACCTTTCCCATCAGGGTCTTCTTTCTCCTGGGGGTGGAGATCTTGATTGTCACAAATGCTGCTGGGGGGCTGAATCCCCACTTCCAAGTGGGGGACATCATGTTCATAAGGGACCACATCAGCATGTTTGGCTTAGGAGGGCAGAATCCACTGCGTGGACCAAACGATGAGAGGTAAAAAGGCATCAGCCCCATGTTACCACTTAATCCTTTCTTCCTCCGGCCGCAGGCTAGGACTGCCAGTTGCCCCTGCTGGCAAATATTTACTGAGAGGTAGAGTTTGGCTCCGGGTACCCACGAGGGAAAAGTTAAAGCAATAGCTGTGTGTGCTGTGCCACCTGCCCTGCCTTCCCCAAGCACCTTTCCTTGGTGGTTGTTTACTCTTATAAGCCTATAAGGAGTTTATATGCAAACCTCCAGAAGGTTTTGTTTTATAAAAGTAGGCTTCTGATCCTTCTCCTGATGTGGCCAGCCGTACCGTCTGCTAAAGAGACCCGCTGCTGTCTCTTCTTGTCAGTCCCTCTCTCTGCTAGTTCCTCCTAATTGAGCAGTCTGGTGAACTGCAGTGTCTCCAGCCCGCATTTAGCAACAGCCATTTCTGGTGTGATGGAACTGATTCGACAGAGTCCAGGCAGTAAGTTGATAGCAGAGCAAAGATAAAACCTCAAAATCTCCTGATAATCACCCTTGTACCCAGGTCATTACACTGGGGTGTCTCTGTTAACATCGTGTATTCACTGAAGGCATCAGTCTGAGAGGTGGTTGTCTTGGCAGCCTCTTGGGACACCTCTAGATCTACGAGAGTGACCTGCTGCTGGTTGAGCTGGGAAGTCAGGTTTCCTATACTAGCTGTGTAGCAGGATCCTTCACCTGTGGACGGTGTGCAGACGGGCTTGTAACACATCTTCACCCCTGGACTGCATTTGCCACCAGACGTAGAGTTGCTTTGAGCAGGAGGTTGGATTAGATAACCTCTTGAGGTCCCTTCCAACCTGAATTAATCTATGATCCTAAAACCCTTCCAAGGCACCATCAGACCGGTAGGGTGGAAGGCAACCAGCACCAGCAAGGTCATAGCACTGAGAGGAGACACGCCAGATGAGCCAGTGTTTACAAAAGGAAGCTCTTTGACTCTCAAATGGGGCTAAAAAGAGCGTGAGGACACATCTCTTGGAGATTCAGGCTGAGCAAAGGAGACCACATCAGGTGTCAGGAAAGTCAATATAGAAGCAGTAAAGGTCCTGGGCTGTCAAGAGTCTTATGATGGGAAAGAAAAAGAGGCTGCATTGTGATAAGGAGATAACAGTAGCAAGAATGATTTCCTAACCAAGCTGGCAGGAGAGAAGCCAGATGAAAGCCAGGTGTGTGAAGCCAGAGGACAAGCAACAGAGGTGGTGAAGGAGGTGGTAGTTTATCAGCAAAGAGTGAGTTTAGATAATAGTTAAATTCATTGTTGGGTTGGTACCTTCATCTTGAAAAAAGGACATGTTTGCAGGGCAGGCACCTGGACTGTCCTGGGACCTTTCCAAAAACAGTTCTGGTTGAGAATAAGGTGGTCTGCCTGGCTTCCAGTTAAAGTTAGTTCCTTCCTGATCTAACACCGGACCAGGCTCCTGCTTCTGAAGAAGTCTGAAAGGTGCTAGCAGCTACCTCAGGAGAAGTAAATGCTGTTCTGCAATTCAAATGGCAAGAGGATAGTACCCATCTGAAGCGGAACACCTTTACGTCTTCATAGGTATTGGTGTGAGTTGGAGGAAAGAACGGTCAGAAGCACAGAAGCCACATGGAGGAGTGTTTAAAGCTCTCTGGACTTGCATAATCGCTCAGGAACAGTAAGAGAAACGCCAGCCAAACCATAACTGCATCTGGACAACGTTCAAAGGCAGCATAGCTGTCTCATTGCCTCCCAAGAGCAGCTTCCCAGTGGAGACTGCAGTGCTCTGGGAGGTGACTTTTGTACTGCTGACCAAGGCATCAAAATGGGCAAAAGGTCTTTATGAATCAGCTTTCAAAGTATTGAAGAGCTTTAGCTGAGCAAAATTCTAAAATCCAGTCCAGCTCAGCCACCAGGAAGGATTTACCTAAGCACGACAGAGTAAAACTAGGGGCAGTGAAGTGATGTGGAAAGGGAATATACTGCAAGAATCGGAGGATTGAATTTAATAAATTAGAGATCGGCTTCTGCATTGCTGGCCATCCTTCAGGAAAGAGAAGCAATTTTCACGGTGATGAATACTTATTACCTTAGACCAGATGGGAAAGTTTGTTTTTTATTTATATGATATTTCAGTGTTTATAAACATAAATAAGCCACCTACTACCCTAAACATTCAGCTGGAAGAACATGTAAACAAGCAGGAGCTTTAATAGCCTAGATGAGGGACCTGGTTCACTTCTACTGAACTGAGTTGGTGAACACGGCTGGGAGTTTATTTTCCAGATTTCCTCAGCAGCAGCACACCGGTCTTTGCCATCTGCTTCTGCTCTCCTTGAGGCGGTAGTAGGATTTGCTCAGTCAGGAGCAGGGCTGAGCTGTTACCCTAAGACCCAAAGCAAGCAAGAGACCCAGCCTTGAAGCACAGGATGAAGGCTACCTAAAATACCGCCCTGGAGCTCCAACATGTGCTGCTCTCCCCATTTCCCTGCAAGGGAGGACACCTAGAATGGCATGCTGTTGCCTAAATGTAGACATCTAATACCATCTGACACTCTGCTCGGTGTCCAATACCCATTCCCTGGGGCTGGCAGGTGCAATATAAGACCTACAGGATGCGTGCATGCTCTGGAGAGGCAGCTGAGGGACAGGCAGAACCTACTGGGGCATCTCAAATGAGCAATTGGATTGCACTTCTGTCCTAGAAGAGCCTCCAAGCTTGTACTTGGTGTGATCTTGCCGTGCCAGGAACCAAATGCGGAACTGGATGCTCTTTCCTGGGATGTATTTTCTGACTAGCAAGCTTTGTTCATCTGCCTTCCAAAGAAAGTCATTCCTCGAGGCCCTTCAAATGAGACAGTAAAGGGAAGAGACTCAAACCTCATGTGATTTGTCCAGTGCATCCAACTCTGATTCTGTTTCGAGCACGTGGGTGTTAACGCGGTGACAGGACAGCCCTTGCTGTTGTGGTACAGGGCATCCCTCTTCGTGAGCCTGCTTTAGTAGCTGCCTGCTGTGATGAACCTTAAATGTAGTGACCGATGCTCCATCCGGCCCTGCTCAAACTCCCTCACTGGGATGATCTTTGGGACTCAGTGCCGCAGGGAGCCTGTCTGCAAGCTGTCGTGCAGGAGAAGCGAAGGGCAGCAGCTGTCTGATGGACAATGTTTAAAAGTCACCACGGGCAGTTATTGGGGAGAGAGATAATTGACCGTCAGTGCTCTCTGGAGACAGGAGTCCTTGGAAAGACCGTTCCCGAAGGGTTTGTGTGGTAGTAACGTGGTGCCAGACCTTCCAACAGCCGTGACCTCTACATGCT